TTATTCAGGTGCACATAAACTAAAACATGTTAAGGACCAAATTTTATCAATCCCCTGCACTGGTCATCTTTTGAGAGGGAGTTGTCAGTAAACCTCTCCATGCCTTGTCCTACAATAAAAGATTGTCCAGCAATTGACTATTGCGTCCTAAGACCTTTGCATGTACTATCATACACACATGAAACTTTTGGAATCACTCATATTCACAGATAACTAGTGCCTATGTACGGGTACCTTAAAGTAAATATGTGCTTTGCTCATTAAAGACAAACCAGTACACTTTAATTCCAACCCTTAGCCCCGACAGTACATACTCATTATTCCTTCTCTCCTTCTTCCATCACAGGAGCAGGAAAAGCCAAAAAGCCATCCTGTGTGAGATAGGAGTTACTAAAGTCCTAATGGGCTCTTCCAATGTGACCAGGACCGCTACAAGGGGAAAGGAGAGGTATGGTGAGCCCCATACATTGACGTCGCTACATACTGGCATCATGTATGTGCCCCATTTACAGAGCAGGTCATCTGACTGTCAGTGACTTGCTCTATACTATACAGCCAGTGGTGGGTGATGGGTACTCCAGTCCATAAGGAGAGCCAAGAGGATGTAGCATGGAACAGTGCTACACGGGAAAGTACATTTACACACTGCTCCTATTCACCACCAATGTAGGAAGTGTAGTGTTAGGCAAATCTAGCTGTCCTTGCTGTATCCAGTGTAGCTGATTAGTTAGGTCAGTTAAGTGTTCTCAGCTGCTGGTAGTCTGTTTGCTCCCTCTGCTTCCAGGGAGTGGTAGAACTCTGGAACAGAGGTGTGGAGCTATGCAGATGACAGTATGAATATTTATGCAGTCCTGGCCAATCCCAGGGAGCAGGGCCCTGAAGGCTGATGGGGAACTGCATAAATACTCTGAGAAACCGAGCTTCTGCGTATTTGTCTGCAGGTAAGATCCAGCCTGGAGGGCTCCCGCCCTCCAAGGCAACATTGCCATGTGCTTGCTGTTTGTGAGGCCTGAGGTGGGTGACCTGAGGGCCTGGGTGCTGAAGCTACAGAGAGCTGACTGAGGGATAGTCTGCTGAAAATCTAGTCTGGTATCACTAGAGGAAAGGTGTTGCTTGGAAGGAGGTAAGCAACTGTCTCTCTGAACATTTTGTGAGTACAGACTGCTGTGAGAGATCTTAGAGATATTTGGGCTGCTGTCACCCCTCTTGTGCTAGAGAGTCAGCTGTGTGTTTGTTAAAGGGGGCATCAGCTGTTGTCCTGAAGAGCTTAGTCTATCTAGTTCTCTGTGAAGGGACTCTCTGGTGCTCGAAAGAACCCTGCTTTTAACTGCTATTACTAGAAGTTCACAGTTTGCTTTATGCAAGGGCTTCAGCTGTATAGAAAGAGATCCCACTCATTTCCCTCAACCCTATCCAAGTTCTCCAAAAATAAAAACAAAACACCGCTAGACCGCTTACTGAGGAAAAGAGTTACTGTGTGTGTGTTCCTGGCTGTGGGACAATCCACTAGGGAAGAAACTGGGCCAATTTCCAACGGCTCCTGTGGGGCTAAGCACTACAGAAGGAAAGGAGGGGAATAACTACTGTCCACCAATGCAATAAAGGGGGCACACAGACCACAACAAATGGGACACAAACTCATCACATTAAAAGAGGCACATGTTAACAACAATAAAAGGAGCTGAGCACAATACAGCAGGCCACCATAAAGAGAACACACACTGACCAATATAAAGGGGTGCACATTAATCATCATACAAGGAGAACACTCTGACTACTATAAAGGGGCACACATTGACCACCATGAAGGGGGCAAACTTCCCCTCATATAGTGGGAACACACAAACCACCATGATGGGGATGCAATAACATGCAAGAGGTCGCACTGATATAGACCTGACTGTTGCATGCTACAAACTTCTGACTGCTGGACTGTATGAGCAATGTTGTAAATTACATAGTCCTTTGAACTTTATATGACACATAGTAGGTATTTAGTAAAACTGGTGCACAGTAATCAAACCGCTTCCAGGTTTTGTTGTCAAAGCTTAACTGAACAATCTGAAGCTAGGTGCTGATTTTTATTACCATGCCTAGCTGCACCAGATTCTGTCTGCACCAGCTTTATTAAGTCTCCTCCATAGTGCTCACTGCTGCACTCTATATAATATTTTGTAGATGATCTGGTCTTGACCACTGTAGTCTATACACTATTTTGTACATTATATAATCCTGACTAGTGCGCTCTATATGCTATAAATTCATGACTGCTGCACTGAATGTGCACTGTTGTACATAGCCCTCTATACAGTGTGTTGCACGTTACATACAGTATACCCAAAAGCTGCACTCTCTACATTTCTACACTGTGTTGTATGCACCATATATGTAAAGTTGTACATTCAACCTTCCTGACTGCTGCACTCTATATGATATGTTGTACATTACATACGCTTTACCAATGTTCTGCAACAACATGCATTTTTTAAAAAATATTTTATTAAACTACATGAGTGTATCCTTTTTCTGTTGTATGCTGTCATCTAGTTGTGGTTTGGGCCGCTACATCTTGTTTACAATATGATTTTGGCATCTTCTGTTTAGAGCTAGCTGGTTTAGTCCTAGCTAGAACCACCTCACTTCTTCCATGTTCCCTCAGTCAGTGTTAATTGTTTGCAGAGACAAAGCTCAGGGAAGTCATTGTCTTCTTACGCTTCAATTAACTGTAAAAACATTCTCTGTACCACAATTTTCTGAAGTAAAATTGCATTAGATTCAACTTCTGTGTTCTACAGAAGAGTTAAGCTGCTTGTTGATGGTGCCAAGTCAGGAGGTAACCATAATGTCTGGACAGACTAGGTCTGACAATGTATGTCAACGCATAAAGCAGCATTTGAAACTGAACAATCAAGGTATTTGTTTCTACAGTTGTTGTGTGTTAAGTTGACTATTCTAATTAAAGGGGTATTAAAACCAAAAAGCAAATATTTTAATATACTGCAGCTTGCCAGCTGTGGTGCCTACATTAGTTTTAGGCTTTCTTTTTTTCTATTTTCATCTGGTAATCCAGTCAGACTGTTTGCTTTTCATAAGAACAAGCTCTGTTCCAGCTAACTAACAATGCTGCTGTCCAAAGATGCCCGTGTCCCTTCATCTGTGGGGTTACTCTAACACGGGAGGTGTTACTTGCCAGATCAACTGGTAAAAAGCTTAAAAAGAAAATGTAATGCAGCCACTACATCTAATGATTGATAAGCTGCAATATGGTACATTTTTGGTTTTGGGTTTATCACTAATTTAAGTTCTTCCAGGTCAATGTGAAACCTGACTGTCAAACCTGGAACTGCACAGTGATGCTGAGACAAGCACATTCCTTTGGTGAGCATTTGCATCTGGGGAGGGGGCATTAAAGACATTTGTGTTGTGCCAGGCTGAAAGGGTGAACTGAACTGGATGGCTTTAAACAAATAAACATTACAAACAAGCTGTACTGTCGCTTCCATTAGTAGAAAGCAAAATATGAATGGAGGACAGGCTGATGAATGAAAGGTTTGTCTCCTCTATTCATAGAATGCTTTTCATTGCTGGAAGTGATAGTACAGCTTCTATGAACAGAGGACAGGGATGGAAAGGGCAGACATAGTGGTTATTCTTGATGCCTGCCTGTGGCAAGTCCCTTGGCTCTTTTAGCCCTTTTGCTGCCAGAGCAGTTTTTGCATTTTTTGGCCTCAGGACGCTCCAAACAGTCCTAGCTGGGCAAAATGTTCCACCTCCCGGGTCTGGTAACTGGCGGGATATCAAAGACTGGCACACCGGGCAGAGGGACACCGGGCAGAGGGACACCGGGCAGAGGGACACCGGGCAGAGGGACACCGGGCAGAGGGACACCGGGCAGAGGCACATCGGGCTGGACTCCGGGCAGAGGCACATCGGGCTGGACTCCGGGCAGAGGCACATCGGGCTGGACTCCGGGCAGCGGCACACCGAGCAGAGGCACTCCGGGCAGTGGCACACCGGGCAGAGGCACTCCGGGCAGAGGCACATCGGGCTGGACTCCGGGCAGAGGCACATCGGGCTGGACTCCGGGCAGAGGCACATCGGGCTGGACTCCGGGCAGAGGCACATCGGGAGATTACCAGGTGAAGCAGCAGGCACCGGGCCCCAGGCGGGGCGACAGGCATCGGGCCCCCAGGCGGGGCGACAGGCATCGGGGCGACAGGCATGGGCCCCCCGGCGGGGCGACAGGCATCGGGCCCCCCCGGCGGGGCGACAGGCATCGGGCCCCCCGGCGGGGCGACAGGCATCGGCCCCCAAGCGGAGCGGCGGGCGCCGGGCCCCCAGGCAGAGCGACAGGTCTCGGGCCCCCCGGCGGGGCGACAGGCATCGGGCCCCCAAGCGGAGCGGCGGGCGCCGGACCCCCAGGCGGAGCGGCAGGTCTCAGGCTCCCAGGCGGAGCGACAGGTCTCAGGCCCCCAGGCGGAGCGGCGGGCGCCGGACCCCCAGGCGGAGCAGCGGGTGCCGGACCCCCAGGCAGAGCGACAGGTCTCGGGCCCCCAGGCGGAGCGGCGGGCACCGAGTCACCAGGCACGACAGTGGGCTCCGAGTCAACTGGCAAGACTGCGGGCACCGAGTCAACTGGCAAGACTGCGGGCACCGAGCCAACTGGCGGAAACAGCGGGCTTCGAGCCGTCTGGCAAGACTGCAGGCACCGAGTCGTCTGGCAGAGACTGCGGGCACCGAGTCGTCTGGCAAGACTGCGGGCACCGAGTCGTCTGGCGGAACAGCGGGCACCGAGTCGTCTGGCAAGACTGCGGGCACCGAGTCGTCTGGCAAGACTGCGGGCACCGAGTCGTCTGGCAAGACTGCGGGCACCGAGTCGTCTGGCAAGACTGCGGGCACCGAGTCGTCTGGCAAGACTGCGGGCACCGAGTCGTCTGGCAAGACTGCGGGCATCGAGTCAACTGGCGGAACAGCGGCCTTCGAGTCGTCTGGCAAGACTGCGGGCACCGAGTCGTCTGGCAAGACTGCGGGCACCGAGTCGTCTGGCAAGACTGCGGGCACCGAGTCGTCTGGCAAGACTGCGGGCACCGAGTCATCTGGCAAGACTGCGGGCACCGAGTCGTCTGGCGGAACAGCGGGCATCGAGTCAACTGGCGGAACAGCGGGCACCGAGTCGTCTGGCAAGACTGCGGGCACCGAATCACCAGGCACGACAGTGGGCTCTGACTCAATTGGCACGACAGCGGGCACCGGGTCATCAGGTACCCGGATTGTCTGGCTCGACAGCGGGCATCGGGTCACCAGGTATGACAGCGGGCACTGGGTCACCAGGCATCAGGTCATTTGGCTCGCCAGCGGGCACCGCGTCATCTGGCAAGGCAGTGGGCACCGAGTCACCAGGTACGACAGCGGGCTCTGAGTCAATTGGCACGGTAGCGGGCACCGTATCATCTGGATCAACAGCGGGCATCGAGTCAACTGGCCTAATAGGATCGTCAGGCTGGATCAGTTCATCATGCTGGGTAGAGACATCAGGCTGAATGCAGGCGTCCGGCTGAGTAGAGGCTTCAGGCGGAGTAGAGGCTTCAGGCGGAGTAGAGGCTTCAGGCGGAGTAGAGGCTTCAGGCGGAGTAGAGGCTTCAGGCGGAGTAGAGGCATCAGGCGGAGTAGAGGCATCAGGCGGAGTAGAGGCATCAGGCGGCGTAGAGGCATCAGGCTGAACCACGGAAGGCAGGTTCACCGGTTTGGATACTGGCAGGATGGTATTGGTTGGAAAGAATTTTCGCTTTTTTCTGGTTTTAACTACTGGAGCACTGCAAGTAAACGCAGGTCTGCAAACGAATGGAGCAGCTGGAGACAGAGAAGAACTGGAGGATGGAACAGGAGAGGGAGCAGTTGCTACAGAGGGCTTTTTTACAGGGTTAAAGGCAGGATAGGTGCAGTGAGTGGGAACAGGGTACTGACATGCGGTAGATAGCAGGGCAGGAGGAGCTGTTGGGAATGCAGGAATAGAGTTTTGAGGAAAATAGATTAGAAGCAGGACTGGGTTTTTGTAAGCTGACTGAGGCTGGGTGCAACAAATCTGTCCATGTCTGCAGTATGGGTTGAACAAAGCTGAGCTTACACAAAGCCTGTCTGACCAAAGACTGCACTGCGTTTATACAATCTCTTAGTACCTGTGGTGAACATGTGGAATAACGCTCCAGAAAGTAACCCACATCATCCTCTAATAACCACACCAGGGACTCTACCTGGTCTGCACTAAATGGTGGCAAAAATTCATCCCTGCATTCGGGGGTACCAGATGAAACCAACTCAGCACAAACCTCAATCAATGGCTGCACCTCAGAGAACTCTGTGCCCTGATCTACTAGAACATGAGCGATCCGTATACATTCTAGCAGTTCATCCCGGGTATACTCCTTCAGAGTTTGATAAGCATACTCCCTGTCATCAAACACTAGCAGATATAAATGCGCAACCTCATCCAGATCCATCCTTCCCATCAACAAACCAAGATGGCTTCCCTGTGCAGCCACTTCTGGTCAGGATTGCCTTGGTGTAATGTCAGGGCTCCCGGGTGTGACCAGAGGTGTGTGACTGACGCAGGGAAACGCAGGCTTCAGATATGTTATAAACAATGTAATTTATTAACACTAACAATACAAACATAAACGCAGTGCAATACTAAAACATAACACAGTGCAAACAAACCAAGCCAACCACCCACAGATAACAGTACATACAATGCAAGCGTCGTCAGGCAGGCCGGGTCAATATCATTCGGGCAGGTAGGTACAGGGGGAGCAAGCGCAGAATGGTCGGGTCACAAGCCAGGTTCAGCAGGTAGCGGGCAGCGTGGTACAGAGGGTCAGGCAGAGGAGAATGGTCAGACAAGCCAGGGATCAGGAGCAGGAGAATGGTCAGACAAGCCAGGGATCCAGGAGCAGGAGAATGGTCAGACAAGCCAGGAATCAGAGCAGGGTCAGCAGAGAATCGGACAGGAACAGGGACAGCAAACAGGGCCCAGGAGAAACACAACACCAAGGCAGAGTCTGCAGGTCTGAATGTCCCTTAAATACACCAGTATAATTAGTTCCAGGTGTTTGACTGGCTGCAAGGTTGAGTCTCTGATTGCTGGGAGCACCCGCTGGCCAGCCCTGGTACTGCAGCTCATAAGGCAGGGGAGTCCCACTATTGCTGGCCAGTCCATTCCTGACACATGCACTCTCCCAAAAAAAAACCCCTCTAATAATACACAGCAAACTGAGCATGTGCAGTTTTCCCCCAAAGCTCTGTTCTATCAGCAGATGGACTAGGGACAGTAGAAGACGTGGAGGATCAGAGTAGTCAGGATCAAACATCTTTTTTAGTACAAAGTGAAGGATTAACCCCTTAGGTTTTATAATGAGTATAACAAGCATGCTTTACTGGATACAGTTGTGGCCAAAATTATTCAACCCCCACTGAAATTGAGTGTTTTGGCCAGTTTGACATTGCTTTTGATCATTCAGTCATCTTGCTTACATTTACATTAAAGAGGCACTTGTAGGTCAGACAAATATAACATAACAGTTATAATGAAATAACCACAAATGTCTTTTCTGTGCTCACAGCATTATCAGTTTTATTCAACCCCCAAGTGACATTCAATCTTAGTACTTAGTACAGCATCCTTTTACAGTTATAACAGCTTTTAAACGTGAAGCATAGCTTGACACAAGTGTCTTGCAGCGATCTACGGGTATCTTCGCCCATTCTTCATGGGCAAAGGCCTCCAGTTCAGTCACATTCTTAGGCTTGCGCACTGCAACTGCTTTCTTTAAGTCCCACCAGAGGTTCTCAATCGGATTTAAGTCTGGTGACTGCGATGGCCACTCCAAAATGTTCCAGCCTTTCCTCTGCAACCATGCTCTAGTGGACTTGGAGGTATGCTTGGGATCATTGTCCTGTTGAAAGGTCCAACGTCTCCCAAGCCTCAGGTGTGTGACGGACTGCATCACGTTTCCATCCAATATCTCCTGGTACTGAAGAGAATTCATGGTACCTTGCACACGCTGAAGCTTCCCTGTACCTGCAGAAGCAAAACAGCCCCAAAGCATGATTGACCCTCCACCATGCTTCACAGTAGGCAAGGTGTTCTTTTCATCATAGGCCTTGTTCTTCCTCCTCCAAACATAGCGTTGATCCATGGGCCCAAACAGTTCTAATTTTGTTTCATCAGTCCACAGAACACTATCCCACAACTTTTGTGGTTTGTCCACATGGCTTTTGGCATACTGCAGTCGACTCTTCTTATTCTTTGGAGACAGCAAGGGGGTACGCCTGGGAGTTCTGGCACGGAGGCCTTCATTACGCAGTGTGCGTCTTATTGTCTGGGCTGAAACTTCTGTACCCACATCTGACAAATCTTTTCTCAGTTCCTCAGCAGTCACACGGGGACTTCTCTCCACTCTACGCTTCAGGTAGCGCACAGCAGTCGAAGTCAGCATCTTCTTTTCTGCCACGACCAGGTAGCGTTTCAACAGTGCCCTTTGCCTTGAATTTGCGAATGATGCTTCCTAAGGTGTCTCTTGGTATGTTTAACATCTTTGCAATCTTCTTATAGCCATTGCCCTTCCTGTGAAGAGAAATCACCTCTTCTCTTGTCTTCCTGGACCATTCTCTTGCCTTCACCATGTTTGTAACCACACCAGTAAATGTCTAGAAGGAGCTGAGTATCACAGTCATTTTAAAGCTGCCTAATTGGTGCTTATTATGCTTGATTGCTGCTCGGTGACATCCACAGGTGTTTTCAATACCTGATGGAAAGCACCTGTATGAACCTCTGTTCTTCAGAGTGGTAGTCTTTAAGGGGGTTGAATAATTGTGGCAATGAAGAAACCACATAAGAACCATTTACTACTGTATTACATAAACAATTGATGTCATTTTAGTTGCATTTGGGTAGTTACAACGTCCTTGTAGGATTTGATTCTGAATACAATTCCAAATGTACACTATAGTCCCTAAACCCCTTTACAGCATTGGGGGTTGAATAATTTTGGCCACAACTGTATATAGACTGATTTTACTGTTGTGGGTTTAGTAACAAAGACTGAAGCCTACAGAATCTGGAGCAGCTGTGCATAGCAACCAATTAATCTCTAGCTTTCATTTTCCAAGCTTAACTAAACCAACTGAAGTTGGAAGATGACTGGTTACTATGCACAACTACTCCAGACTCTGTCTGCTCCAGTTTTAATAAAATCCCCCAATACGTTTAAAGGATCATTTTGTTTACACCTGACAATTCAGTTTCATGTGCATTTTGGTGGCATGATTCCTCTGCCAATATATGTCTCTAGTGGACTCCAGTGAGGAAGTCATTTTACAATAGTCCCTCCGTTTCCACAAAAATATAAATTTTCATAGCAATACAAGGTTGTTGTGTTTGCTTCTCTTAGATTCCCTATGACACAAAACAAATTAAAAATCCTTTAACACATGTGAGACTGGTCTGCAGCAGGAGTGAAGACCCGTGAACTCATGTACAGAGATCTCTCTGAGAGTCCTCATAAGACCTAAGAAACCATTGGGTGATATGTTAGTGTTGATTGGATTGACCACTTAAGTACATAACTGCCAGCAAACCCACAGATCTCTAATGGCATTTTTCTCACTTGTGCTAACTCTAATGGAATTCAATCATAATGACTCGCGTTCTCTGGCTATTTAGAGACAATTTCATATTGTTCTTATCAGCTGTCTGATTCTATATTTCAATGTAATTTTGGCCTCTGAACACAGGAAGCGTTACACAGCCTAAACTTGCAACCACATGGATAGCAGTTGCTAGGTAACCAGATAAGAGATGCTGCTTTGGAAAGGATTCCCAAGTGATACAGGTATCCTATCTCATCGCTGGTTACTATGGTGATGAGGGCAATGAAGACCAAGGATCCACAACCTTAATTTTTTTAACAATTTTTTTTTTTTTAAATCAGAGTGGATTGGAGTATAGACAGAAAATGCAGGAATAGGAAAAGCATTCATGCATGCAAAGCACTGACGTGATAGGGTGGATAGGTCAGAGGTATGTGGTGATCAGATGATAGGGAGAAAGTTAACAGCTGTGTGTTGGGGTGGTGTGTGTGCGTGGCGTGTGTGTGTGTGTGTGTGTGTGTGTGTGTGTGTGTGTGTGTGTGTGTGTGTGTATATATATTCTCACATTTGTGTACATTTTATTCTGTCTTTTCATGTGACAACAATGGAGAAATGACACTTTGCTATAATGAGATGTAGTGAGTGTACAGCTTGTATAACAGTGTAAATTTGCTGTCCCCTCACAATAACTCAACACACAGCCATTAATGTCTAAACTGCTGGCAACAAAAGTGAGTACATCCCTAAATGTCAGGTTTCTGTGATGTAAAAAATAGAGATAAAGCTAGATAATTTCAGAACTTTTTCCACCTTTTTTAATGTAAACTATAAATTGTACAACTTGAAAAACAAACTGACATCTTTTAGGTCGAGGGGAGTAAAAATAAAAAACTAAACTAATACAG